TGGTGATTAAAGTATAATGTATGCATTTCATGTTATGTGAGGGTTGACATTGGCACTTGTCAAACTATGATATAATACCTACTGTAAGACATCACCTTGGATTCATTTCTGACGGGTATTTGTCATTATTTTTGAAATTGTATGGACAAATTAAAAGTATAACAGGTGCGTTGGAGTAAAGCACAACTTGAAAACAACTCTTGCACACTTTAATGCACAATGTAATGTTCTTTGATAAATTGAAACTTGTGTCCCTATTTAGTTTATAGATTAATTTAACGTTAATGTTGATTTAATGCTTCATAACACTGTACAAAACTTGTAACATGTTTGCCCTTAAATTGACTTGTTGACATATAAAGCGTTGTCATGGTTCCTATATACCTGATGACGGTTGTGTAGACTGAAACGTTGTGTAAATAAATATAATACTTTTTCAGCAGTAACCGAGTGTGAGTGAGTCCCTCTGTTTTGAAATTTCGTGTACTAAATAATTTCTTGAATAATCAATAAATGAAGTGATAATGAAATCTGATATGCAGCCATAAAAGGCAAAAGAGCTACATTTAAATCAAAATATACTTTTTATATTTTCTACAGATTATATTGATTCTCCAGGAGACCTTTACCAACATCTTTGGCCTTTTGCAAGGTGCTTGATAACAGAGCCCCCAATTTACAAAAAATCTGTTAAAACCAAGCTGTTTCATCTACGAGGGCTCACACACACAGTGAATGGGCAGGGTGCCAGCGTCAGACCGAAGCGTCCGTGCATGGGAGGAGGAGGCGCTCCCTCTGGGAGTCTGAATTTGAAGGCCTGCAGTAAGCTGGTAACTGTCAGGAACAGCTCCATCTTCGCCAGCTGTTCACCCATGCACACCCTGCGCCCTGAAGGATTCAGAGGATAAATCATTAGAGCCTGGTGCACAGACAATTTAAATTAATTTATAGATCAGTGTTTAAGTTATTTAGCCAATATGAGTAAGGAATAGCATACCGATCCCGAACGGTATAAAGCACTCTTTCCTGAGCAACTTTCCTTCATCATCCAAGAAGCGTGCTGGGTTGAAACGGTCTGGGTCGTCCCACACAGTGGGATCTCTATGGACAGACCACAGATTGGGCAAAACAACTGTTCCTTTGGGAATAGTGTAGCCTCTGAACTCTGAAAAAAGGAAAACACATTACAATGCCATCACCTCAGATGCTTGTGAAATTATGAGGAATAAACCAATTTCAGCTCTGTAGATCTTTATTATCCCTGACATACAGTTATCCTCTGAGATATCAGAGATCTGACTCTGAGCATTAACAGAGGATTTGGTGAAATATGAGGGCACACAGGGGTTGTTTAAGTTTACCTGTTCTCTCAGAGGCCATGTGAGGAATAGCCAAAGGAACCACTACAGTCAATCTCTGCACCTCCATGATGGTGGCTTCAGTAAATGGCAAACTTCCCTTATCGTTGAAAGATGGGTCCCGGTCTCTGCCCACCACTTCATCAATCTCTGCCTGGACCATGTCTGAAAACAAAACAGTAGAAGCAAAGCAACATTAAGCACATCATTCTTGCATGATTAATGAAGCCTTCACGGACAAAAAGTAAACAGATCAGCAAATATTGTGTGTGTGACTCGTGGACGCACCTCTTGCCAGTCAAAAGAAGTACCAGAAAGCGGTAGTGAAGTGCATGTTTTAATGTGTGGTTAAATCAGCATGGTTGTGAAACACTTGGAGAAGTGGTTAAATTTATAATGGAGTCAGACATTTTGCCACCTTATACTAGGAAGTATTCGAGCCGTGGCTTTTTTCCTCAGCAAATTTCCAATTCCCTCTTCCATTTAATTAGGGAACTAAATCTGTGGTTCATATCAGACTAAAAACATTTCACATTCGGTTCTGCAACACAAATTTCACCCGTCAGTATCTCAGCTACCCGCTTTGAAGCTTATATTTTATATTATTTAATGTAAACGTATTGAAATTACAAATGAATTGCATCGTTGATTCAAATGTAGTAAAGTGTGTTGATTTCTAAAAACTAATGTGTGCAAAAATGTTTGTGTCACATATGATTAGTTGTTTTGTACACTGTTTTTTTTCTTTATTCACCCAAAAAAAAATATCGACTGGAAAATTTGCCCTGGAAACTCTGAGCAGAGGTTCATGTCTGGTTGGCCAACAGAAAGAGATAATCGCCTTACTCCTTTATAACTTCCTACAGAATCTGATTAGAGAACGTCCGATGTTACAGCAGATGGTCCCAGCTCCACAGCTCCACTCTGGTGTCATTGTGGAGGTCAGTATTAAACACGCAAACTACACATAGAGCTCCAGCTCACAAGGTAATGCAATGGCTGGACTATAAAAGTTGCTACCTTTACCTTGGATATCAGGATGTGAGACCATGTAGAGCAGAAACCACAAAACTGAGTTAGCGGTGGTGTCAGTGCCAGCGATGAAGAGATCTCCTATTATATAAAAGAGATAATCTTCAGTGAAGCTGCTGTCCTCCTCTCCAGCATCTCGCTTGGCCAATATCTCTATCAGGTACATGTCTGTGAGATCCCTTGGGTTGTCACGATCTAATGTTTCCCGGTGCTCCGCAATACACCTCTTCAGAAAGGCTGTGATGTCTCCTTCCACTTGCCGTAACTCCTTGAAGACCCCGAAAGGTAAGTAGTACAGCAGAGGAAAGATGTTGATCAGGACCGCGGGGCTGTTCACGCAGATCTCCAGCCCACGCGCCATCAGCTCCAGCATGGTGCAGAACTCGCTGTCTTCGTGATGGAAGCGCTGACCCAGGATCAGCGAGCAGATGACGTTTGACACAGCATTGCTGATCAGTGGAGCCGGGTCCACACCGGCACCACCGGACTCCTCATCCAGTCGCAGCAGCTCCGCTTTGATGGTAGCCAGGCCTTTCAGGATGCAAGGCTCCAAGCTCAACTTCCCCAGGCCAAAGCTCCGGAGTGTGGCGTGGCAGAACCTGCGCTGCTTTCTCCACACTGGGCCGTAAGGTGCGAAGACTATTCCTAAAGTTCAGTTAAACCAGAAAGGGAATAGCATACAAGGAGAGCATTTAGATCAGTCTTTTTTTTAAATCCCAGCTGTAGGATTTAGGGATGCTAAATAGACTGTTTATAAGTTACAGCTATTGACCAGTGTAAATGTGTATATTTGTCAGTATATTACATACAATTTTCAACTAATGGAGTCCATACTATGGTCCTGCAATAAATCCTACCAACGTGAAAATAGTGTTCTGTTTTTTGTTTAAATTGTTTCAGTATTTATTCAACTTTATGGTCATTATGATTACAACAACCAAGAACTCCTTCAATGTGTAGTATTTTATTGTAAATAATGAGGATTATATAAAGATAAACATGAGAACCTATCCTTTATTCTTACTGTGGATATATATATATATATATATATATATATATATAGGTGTTTCTACTTATTTACTTTGTCTACTCCATTTACTGTATCAGTAAGAGCAGACTTATATTAAAAACATCTCTCAGTATAAAGCAATAAAATACAACACCACAACAAACTATAGGCTCCAAAAGTGCAATAAAGTTGAATCAACACTTTTCTAAAGTTTAAACAAAAACGTAAGTTATGGCTGATTGGACTGCATTAGTAAGTGAGTCCAATAAAGTGTAAACTGTTTATGCATGTCTGTCTAACGCATGCTTTAGGTTTAACACAACACAGAAATAAGGTTAAAGATGAATGAAATGTCCCTTTAATGCACCTTACCTTTGCGTTCAGTCATGATAGTAATAACAGGAATAATTGGCCTGTCGGAGAACACCTCGGGGTGGTTGGAGAGAGCATCCTTGACCACTTCATAGCCATTAAGCACAACGACCAGCTGGCTCCCTACAAAGAGGCTATAAACATTACCATACACTTCGGCTTTTTTCATTAAATGAACCGCAGCGTTAACGTGGGTGCTCTCTGCTTGTTGTCCAAACCTCCTCTGCATGAAAGTGGGGATAAAAAAGCCGCCAAAGTTGCCGACAACCGGCCACGGTTTCGGACCTGGCGGGATATTTGCGAGGTCCCGTCGTTTCTGATAAAAACGGATTAAATAACCCACGATGAAGAACACTATCAGAGCTACAGTGTTTTCATGCGACAGTACAGAGCTGCTCAGACTGTCCGGCCACGACAGGGACACCATGGCGCTAAAGTTAAAATAAAATGAATTCAGTGACAAGCCGATAATACTATCCCATTTTCGGAGTAATGATAAAATCCGTGTTAATATGCCAACCCAACGACACCGCCGGTTAACTAGCTCAAGCTCTTCCTGTGTTGTTGTGAAAACGTATCCAGCCAACGTGGTACCGTTACTGGCTTTCTATTGGCTGACAGCGCTGTGGTCTGCTGTCATTGGTGCACTTGGGACAGCGAAGACGGAGGGATTTTGAGCCCTTTAAGGTGTCTTACAGGCTACACACCAAGGCTTGCTATTGGCCAGGAGTTGTTAGTTACACTACTAGTTACTGGGGTTAAGTATTATTATTACTGGAATATTATTACTAGTAATGAGTTACCCCCCAACACTTATAATATGTATGTAAATTAGTGAAGTTTGACACAGTAGCTCCTGGCCCTTAAAGTGAAGCAATGCAGTTTAGCACAAGCACTTACACTACATTTTGCACTGTTCATCTCTTTCTTACTTTTCAAACTATTCCCTCTTTTAACTTTTATGAATCTCTTCAGAAATTGTCCCCTCTAGTTCTGTTGCAACTGAAAATTACAGTACATGTGCATATTTGTTCAAGATAGACATAGCGGATAGAAGAAAATGTTGAGGACAAAAAAGACCATATAAAATATTTAATCCAAATTTAGAAATAGATTTAATGTCAAATGTGAAAATAGCTTGTAAAGTTAATAATGAAAACTTCTATAGCATAATGATTACTTTGATTGATGATTTCAAATGAAAAAAATACACACATGGCTTTGTATGGTTAAATTTTAATACAATAGTACAATGTTGAGGCTACAGCTAGGATATACATAATCAAGGCTACTCAAATTAATACTTGAAGAACAACAATAATAATAATATTTATCATAATAAAAACTCATAGAAAAACAAAACAAATACACCAAGACTCGTAATGGCAGTTTTGAAACACCTACTGACGTTAAACATACTAAGGCACCTTGTGACTTGAGCACATTGATATCATGTTGAGGTAAACCCCGTCAACACACACAGTATGAAAAACTTATGGTAGCACATCTAAAATAATCTAAAACAAGTCTTGCAAATACAGCAACAAATCTGTGAGTCAGTTGCCACTAACTGTCAGTTCATGTACGAAATACACCAGGATCTGACACAAGTATCATTTACAAAAACAACACTGGCTTTGCAGGACTTAACTCATAAATAAATTACACTGACGAAGAACACACAGAGACAATATGATTATCCTTCTAGGCACATTTTTGCGGAAACATTTCTCTCATAGCTATGCATTTGGTATCAATATGTCCTGTCCAGTAGACAAGACTGAATGGAGGAATACCACTTCAATGGATTATCAGGAAACGCTGCTGGGGGTATCAGGGTTGCGTCACTCCTCTCGTGTGCTCTGTACCATGGAATACTTCTTGCAGGGGTTCTTAAGGCAGGCAGGAGGCCAGGTTATGGGCCAACTGTAAGAGCATGGCACCGAGGTTTGGACGTTCCTCTCCAGGAAGTTGAACAGTGGGTTCCACCAGGTGTTGGTGAGGTAGTTGTTGGGCGAGCATTTCAGAGTCTGTGAAAAAAATAAAAGTTGTCATTTAGAATTATATAAGTTATTATACATTTTTTAAAATATATATTACCTTCCATACAAGGAATGCAGCTCAAAGTGCTGCTGATGAAGAGGCCAAACTCTCCATGACTTCCTTTTATTATAATGTGACTAAGTTGTCAGATAATTCAAGTAGCCATATCACAAGGATGAAGCATGTAGACCCTTTCTTGTTGTTACTGTCTTAGTGCCCTAGGAGTGTAAAAGTTGCATCAGAAAAGAACACACCATTTTTTACTAATATCAAAGGAGGTGTTTTTGCTTGCTGTAATCATTCTTCTTGTTCATACTGGCATTTAAAAGATCCCTCCCAACAGTATGAGCAAAAAAATATTCAAAAGTTTATCAGAAGTTAATTTGAGCCTTCAGCAGTCTGAAGGCTGCGTTGACACTGCAGGCAAAAGGGGCCCAAATCAAGTTAGTATCTTCTGAACCCAATTCTAACATTAGTCTTTTAGTAAAGAGTTTCCATGCTGAGCTGTTGCAGAGGTATAGTAACACAAAGAGAGAATTTTGGAAGATACTTGGTCTCTTTACAGGCAGTATGAACAGAAGAAATTATTGCAGTAAACATAAACTGTTTCAAGGTACGTATGGAAACCTGACAACTATTTTAAGACTTGAAAATCTATCCTTTAATACCCTACCTGAACAGTATAATTTGTAAACAGTTCAACTTATATCAACAGTATCAATATGGCACTCTCTTTAATAGTGGAGATAATATACAAATATTAAATATTATTCAACCTTTGTCTTTATTTAATTTTTTGTTTTGTTTTTGTATTCATTGCAAAGTTGTTGTGAATGTGTTAAACATGTTAACCATAAGGTCAATATTTAAATGTAACTTAAAGAGTCATTTTGCTTGATACCACCCCATATCAACTGTCTGTTTTGGCCAGTAGAGGGGGTAATTCACCACGTTGAAAAGCTGCATACTAACTATGAGGGAATGTCATCCAGAGAATTCTGAGAGTCTAAAAATATACTTTGTACTTACTGTAAAAATATAATTATATGTGATATATAGACCATTTCTTTTAAACATAAACTGTTATACATTTTTGTGGTGACATGCAACTTTTAGCCGGTACACTTAAAGTAAACTCAGTGAACAAAATACAGCCATGTACATGTATCACCAAACTGACAATAAAGCCTTACATGCATAATGATTCATGTTTAACAGTGTTCACTGAGAAGGGAGACTTCAGCTCTTGAAGCTCTTTTTTACTCTCTTGCACTCCAACACACACAAACCTCCACCACCACCCAGTATTCAGCTTTGCGTTCAGACCTGTAAGTTGGCCATGGTGTGGTACCACCAGAAGAGGCGGGAGGTGATGAAATAGGCCACGACCACATCCACACTGTAGTGTTCATGTGCCACCAAGATGCACACCACACCCACAGCACTCAGCAGCCAGCACATCAGATGGTACCACCAAAACGACCGTGGCGAGTCTTAAGTGAGAGGGAAGGAGAGACAAGAGTGTTGGTAATATTTATGACAACACCCATTTGCGGTCTGTTCTTCCATGTTTCCGCTGTCAAAAAAAGGCAGTCCGTAACATTTCAGTGCAATCTGACAAGAACAGAGGGATTTCCTGCAACACACAGACAAGCAGTAAAGAATATGGTAATAGGGGAAACTTAACCACTTAATCTCTGTCTGTAATAGTTCATCCTCACAACATATTTTTGAATTTTAAAAACCTTTTTTTTATGTACTTTGTACTACCATTTATCCAGCATACACTCAGTTGCAAATTTATCAGGTACATCTGGCTAAAATTAATCAGTTTAATACAAAAGCCCAGCAAAAAATTCCTACCTTAATGAAGGTTATAACATTCAAATTGTGTTGAAACTGTTTTATAGGAGTGTTGATTTAATTCTATGGTCATTTGTATGTAATTTGTGGTGTTGTTGAATAGTATTGCATCACACTGAGGGATGTTTTTAATATTTTGTCTACCCCTACTGATACTGTAGGCAAAATATTAAAAACACCTCTCAGTACAACACAACATAATCCAACAGCTCCAGAAACTACAGCCTTCAAAATGACAATAAAGTTGAATTAACACCTATCTAAAACACTGTTTAAATTAAAACTGTACATTGTACAATGAAGGCACAATTTATTGCAGGGCTTATGTAGGTAAAGTGACCTACAGCTTTACATGTTATAAAACATATCTGCAAATAAATAATACAAATAATTTGAATGTTAAAAGAAACATTGCAATAGTGGCAACACACCTCACTTTTTCTCACCTCACTCACCTCAAACCTCACTTATATGCTGTTAGCACCTAGCCCATGTGTTCATATATTATTCAAGGGAATTTCACATAAATTATTCTATACAAGCAAACAAACAAGTGCTGCTTTGAGTACTCACACTCCTTAATGAACAGGTAGGTGAGAGTGAGCATCACAGTGTGTCCACTGTAAAGGAAGTCTCCACACAAGAGATGAGAGCTTGTAATGGACAGACCCCCGCCTGATACCAGTCGCAGAATTCGCTGGATTTTTGCATGGGAGTCTCCGTGGAGCTGACAGAGAAACAGGAACATAGAGATGGAGAGATGGAGAAATAAACACTGGCTCAGCAGCAACATTAAAGCTAACAATTATTGCCATTATCAATTCATTTGTTGGATGTTATAACAATTAATTAAAAATGAATGCCCAAATTGCATGTTTTGTCCGACCAACAGTTACAAAACTTACTGCACCCTTGTTGTTTTAGACTTTCTGTTTTTTGTGTGGATTACTAAAGTGAGATATAACACATAATAGTGAGCTTTAGAGGTTCTGGTAGGCGGATTTTGTAACCATTGAACAGAGTCTAGCTGATTTCCGCTGTTTTGGGTAAGAAAGTGGCAAAAAAGTGAAGAACTGTATTTCCCAAAATGTCATACCATTCCTTTAATTTCATGTTGCTCTTTTCAACTCTAGGCAACATAATTTGAACTGTGGTCAAAATGAAAAGTAAAACAATTTAACACAATCATCAACTACACATGATCATATCTTGCGCTCTTGTGCTTGTTGCTTGAATTAGTGAGGATAATTCACTTCTTATGAGTAAAATTACTGAGGATAACTCATTCTCATATTTCTTAGGAGCAGCTAAAGGCTTTCATACACTCTCCAAAACATTCCAAAATCTTGCGAACTAAACAACTACTAAACAGTCTGTCCTCCGATTCTTTTGCACTACACAACCCAGCAAACAAACCGCCAGGAGCACATGTTTTTGATCAAACAATGATGCACCTTAATATTGTTGGTGTCCTGAGGCAGTAAAAAGTCAAAATGGCTTTTTTATGGCTGCTTTTCTTGCATGGTTGTGCAAAATGAGTCCCAGAGGGTGTACGAGAGTATACGGCTGAGCAACGGCAGCTGATGCCTGCTCTGATGTCTGCATGCTACTCACCTTAGGAGCACATGTCATATGCATGCCAGGTACAGGAAGGGTGGTGATGTACATAGTGACACAGCGGTACAAGTATAGGGTGCCGATGAGGAAGAAGAACCGTCTGCTTGCTATTGACCTGAAATTTTCAAATAATTTTCAAATATTCATATTGAGTTCAGCAGTAACAAGTGTCACAAAAAGACAGAAAATACAATTTCATTGCGGATGTTAGCCTTAACAGACTGTAATATGATGCAGTACACGAGTAACAGGAAGAGACGTGTAGAGCGAGTTACAGCACATAACCACAAACTATTTCATCACTCAATGTGAAAAGGAAAAACTGTGGCCTGAACCATTTTTTTTTTTGCTGAAGTGAAATTTAATTTTCTCCCCTCATTTAATTTCCAGGTGTTTTTGAAAGACAGCCTTACATTGAAACTAGATTAAAAGATGAGGCTGGAGTCACTCTCTACTTCTTGTAAACAAACCCCCCAAAAATAAAAGATACCAAAAAAATATAGAATATCTCCAGGCTTATCTTTGAAACTAAAGTAAAACTATTAGTATAGGTAGTACCAAAGGTCCTTACTTGTATCTGAAGAAGAACAACTGGATCAACCAAATTGCCAGCAGCACCATGCCATTGATCTCTGTCACTGTAAAGGCCCAGTTGACCCTGTCAATATAGTCAAAAAACTTATCAGGGAGAGGTGGGCTGCTTTCTTTGGGTGGGACCCTCTCGTGGACTATGGTGATGACGACTGTGGTCAGGACCAAGTTAAACCCAGCATAAAAGAAGGCGATTGCTGTCTTCCACCACTCCATTGGCAGACGATTGACCTTGGACTCTGGCACAGAAATCTTCACGTAGTCATTATGCCTCCCTATGCCTTTCCGAAAGCCCCTCTTTGTGTCCTCTCCACTTGGGGTGTGGACAGGACAAGTTTTACCGCTGCTGGGAACAGCAGCACCCTCCATTACTGGGTTCAGATTATCAGTGACAGAGTCTCTCGCATCCACAAGCTCTTGTGATGCCATTGGTGCCTGCACTGTCCATCCACAGACACCACTCCCCTGGGTTGAGGCTTTTTAGCTGCCGTGAGAGAAAACAAAAGGTTGGAAAGTGTCAGACTCTTAGGTTTGGACAGCACAAGCATACTATTGTCATTTGCACAAGATAGAAAAGCACATACGTAAACAGCTTGGCTGCAATAAGACTGCCAAACCACCATTAAGAGAAACAGGGATGAGATGAACTATCGTTTATTTTTTGCTTCTCTTCCTTATTCTACGGATTAGCAAAGCAAAAGATAAAGTTTTTATTAATACAGTTGTTGATTTCACTTTGCTGTAAGGACCATTTCAGACTTTAGAGTTTAGAGCAACCAGCTATTCTAGATGTGGTTGTCTGAGTTAACACTATGTGTTATATTTTCCTTTCCCTGGACATTCACCAAAGCCAGGACAGTTTTCTGTTTGGACGTCCAGTCAGACTGTTATTTTGGGCCTTCCAAAGTCTTTCCCGCCGCTTTGGTTTTGTCTTCAACAAGCAGCTGCTATGGTCACAGCGGTTTTCATGGTCCAACATTATCGGTTGCAACAGAGTTATAAGTTTGAATCTGTATGCAAACATAACTCAGCTAAATTGAACTAAACTTATTGAAACTGAAAGCTCATTCTTGACCTTGGAAACAATAGTTGACAAAACAGTCTCACCACCACCATGGTCCATTAAGCTGCTGTTCTGGAGCTTTCTATAGAATCATGTTATATTTTTCTACAGATGGAATTTGCTCAATTGTCATGGAATTTGCAGATAAAAACTTCTTCTAAGGACTTCTCGTGAATAGTGGCTTAGAAGTCAATGAAAACTAAGCTAACTCTTGCCTGATGTGAGACAGAACTTGTTACGCTCACACACACAAACGCTTCAGTCAACTTGGTGGAGGGTAAGGCGAGGTAAGCAAGATTGTTTCCTCGACATTAAAACAACTAAACTAACCAAAGCTAAGCAATACTACACTATGTTAAAGTAAAATATAATGTAAACTAAACTAAACTAGTTTAAACATAAATAATGGATGGATTGTTGGGAAGCAGAGGTGAATAATCAGTATTCACACTCAGAAGACAAACAAAGTTGAAGATGAGGTAGTACAATGTTTGTTGTTGAGCTCTTTTTCAGTTAATGACTTGAGAGAGCACTACAGCAATGGCCATTTTCATTCTTTCATGTCTGAAAGGCTTTGAGATGCTTTAACAGCTCCATTAATGGATTTGAGGAAACTGCTGTCAGCCCTTAAATGCATCACAATAAATGTCATCTGGGATACATACAGAATGGTATGTTTACTTGGAGACAAGCCTGGCAGGACAAAAGATGGGATAGAAATAGAGTGTGGCTAGATAGAAGAGAGCTGCTGAAAGTATCAGTTTCCTCAGAATCAATTTTTGGGAAAATATTATTACAGCAGAGAAGGGCTTACAGAATGCCCTCCGACTAACCCGTAGCAAATTCTGCCTCAGTTATGCAACTGATCGATGGCTATAGAACAAAAAGTCTGACAGACTTTAAGGTTGTTAAAGGGGTTATAAGGTATATTATCACTGACCAAGATGGCAAATAAGATCAACAAGAGCAGACAGACAATATAAGCCAATTACAATGCCATGTCCCTTATGTTATTAGTGAGACTAAGCTGCAGCTCTGTGGTTGGTTATACTGCAAGTTGCGATCCTATATGTCAAGGGCAGTCAGGCAGTCACTCTATTGCTGGTGTAGCGAAGCATTTAGAACATGAGTGTGAGAAAATGTAACGTGTTCTTTTTTTCTTAGAAAAGAAAAAAAACATTATTTCATTTTTTTTTTACATCTCTAACAATTTCTAAAAATAAACGTTCAGTTTAAACTGTGAATTTTAGGAAGTCTGTGCTTAAGATAAACATCAGAAAGACGTAGTGTAGTCAGTGGCTTCATGCAGCCCTACATTTTAACACAGCTTGTCCTCCAAGACAAAATAGGTTATTAGTTATTGGCTTCCCAAAATGCCAAAGAGACCCCGACATTGTTTTTAGTGCCTTCCAAAACAGTAGGCCTCTGACCTACCACCTCTGTGCTTAAAGACCAACTTAACATCAGCAGAAAATGTTGTTGACCTTGAATTGTTAAACTTCTTACCATGCTGCAGAGATGTAGAAGTATACTCCAGGGTGTGTTAGTACACTACGACATTACTGGTGGGTACAGAATACACTCTTAACCAGAGACGACAGGGAAACACTGCTTTTAAGCCTGGTGATAAGGTTTTTAACCACTTGGTTATGATTAGATAAAGATTATGGTCAGGGTTAATAGGGCTTCCAATCATATCACATATTCTTCATCAATAGACAGTGTTTTTAGCAATATTTCATTATTAACACATTGATTAAGCACATATATTCATATTATAAGCCTATACTCATTGCGTAGATTATTCTGATTCTAATCCTGGTGCTGTTGTCTTTTCCCCCATATTCTCATATCCCTCTTTCTGAGTTATAGAGGCCTCTTCCATCCACTGGGAGAAGAGTTTTGACACCCATCTTTACAGCTACACTGTGCACACATACAAGTTCAGTATTCAGTAGCTGTCATGATTTCATCCTTAATATTCTAAAGGTCCAGTGTGTAGGATTTAGTGGCATCTAGAACTGTAGCTATAAATTACAAACTCCTCATCTCACCCACCCATTCCAAGCATGTAGGAGAAACTACAGCGGCCACAAACCTCACTATAAACATGAAAGCTGCTATCTATAGCCAGCATTATTCCACACTTATTTATTAAAAGACTGTGGCTTAACAAAGCCCAACTTTGACTGTTGGTAGAAGATGAGATGTTAAGCCGTCTCTGTTGTCAAAATCAGACATAAATTCAACAGTTATTATTCACAGGTTGTAAAGCCTCCTGAAACAAAATATGATTTTGTGCAACATAAATAACATTTTACTTGCTTTGACTTTACTTTATGTATATTTTCTTGTATTGGTGCATGTTCTGAGACAGATCAGTGTGAACAAAGGACATGGGAGATACTATTTTGTTTACGGTGAGACAGCATGTGTGCTGTACATGGGAGGTCAGCAGTGTCTCCATTAGACTAGTTTTCCACTGGTCCTCTCCTCCCTAGTGTACAGTGCACAGTGTTTTCCCACCAGCCGGAGCACCCAGCAGCACTCTAAAGGGATGGGTGGTGATGGAAAACTGGCAGAAAAACCTATTCCACATGGTCACAGGGCTGTAATGGATAATTTGGCTGCCTCCACTCACTCAAGCTATTTCAAGAGAAGCCACCCTGTTGCCTTGAAGGCTGTACTTTACTCCAGGGTTACCAGGGCTTTGACTGCATTTTGGGGCCTTCATAATAACATGCTACTATTGCTGTCCACTCATTTTCCTCTTCACATCATGTGGATTGTCTTCATCAAAGGGAGGATAAAAATAAGTCACACCAGAGGTGACCCAGCCCTTTGGAAGTGGTGACTTACAGAGAGGAGTTGACTATATGTTACAAAATGTACTAACTACTAAATCAAGTCTTGAAACTGCATGTTCAGCAGTACATCATGTTTAGGTTTTTGGTGCATGTTTCATTTCAGTAACAAATGCTCAAAGTGTTAAATGTAGTTTAAAAGTCTCAGAAGAAGATGGGCTTGAAGTATCTGACACAAGTTTGTATAGCAGATGGGCACTACACTGCTGTTTGAGAGTCTGTAATAAAAAAATGATCTCATTTATGGCTTTGTGATAATAAGATAATTTCTTTATGCCTATATTTATGCTAGTAGTAGCAGTGGTGCATGCTGTTCGGATCCTTTACTTAAGTTAAAATGTGCTGAGCTGCAAAAATAAAACTATACAAATTTAAAGTCAAAAACCTGCCTTATAAGTGTTACTTAAGTAAAGGTACATAAGTAGGCTGTGTGTGAGCATAGTATAGCCTACCTAAAGTTACAAAAGCAAAAGTTCTCTTTATGCATAAAAAATACCCCAGTGTTATATTATTATTCTTATTATTGGATTGTTACTGGTGCATTAATATCTAAGTAGTATGCCACGTTTATAGCTAGTTCAGGTGAAGCTATTTTAAGCTACTTTATACTGTAAATGAGTTTAGAATAAAACAATACATCATATTATATAAGCACATCATACATTATCTACCTAAACTGTTTTCTAAATCTCTAAAGTATAGCTGTCCACTAAATGTACTGGAGAGTGAATGTTTGCCTCTGAAATGTAGAGTAACAATATGTCAAAGTTGTTCTTAGAGTGCTTGAGAAAATGTAAATGTTTTTACTTACTTCTTTTTACCACTGAATGATAGTACTAGCAGTAATAGTAGGGGGTCATTTTAGAAGCAGTATTAGGAGAAGAAGTATTCATAATAGCAGTATTTGTCTGTAATAATCCTGCATATTTATATACCAGGGAACATGCCATAATAATAATGTGAATGACAAAAAGCAAATGTTTGAAACTTTTGGTTTTACCACACTGAAGTTCCCTTCTTGTACTGGATCCCATGACTTATATAACACTAGCTGACAAAGATGTTCATCAAAACACACAAACACATTCTTTGTTGACAGAACAAATACATTGTGCTTTCTTTCTGAAAAGACATTCAATTTTATAGCATGCAAGCCAAAATGTTAAGACTGTACATAGAGCCAGCCCTACTTTTCTGGGTGCCATAGCCACATGTGGCGGTAATGTCAGGTTCAGGACTGGGTGTCTCCCATGCCTCCCATATATTACAGGGCAGTCTGTCACATGTGATGCGTGCGGTGCAGCCAGTTTTGAAGTTTACTTTTGGGGTGTAGCACAGTGGCCCCACACATACTTTTAAACACCATGTTCCATTTGAGGCTATACTGGGTGGGGCAACAGGTCATTGGATGTCCTGTAATTAAGCCGTTTCGTTTTCAGTGAAAAGCTATTGCAGTTGGGAATTAACAACTGGATTATTCAAATGGATTTAAAGCAACTCTATCACAAGTCTCTGTACTGTATCTATATATGACCCAGAAATAAATGTTAAATAATGTTTTTGATTTGCATTTTAAAGCTTTTAGAGCTTTGATTTGTGACAACATCTGTGTGCGTCACGTGATGCTACTGGTAAATACCCCGATAATGCTGTGTATAACTGGCATCATCATACCATAAACACGACCGTAAACCACTTCATATCTAACGATCCTTCGAATAGAACTTTTGGCATGAATGTGTGCGAATACACGAGGCCCTATAAATGGAAATTCAAATATTGATTATGTCTCTTAGAATTCACAGTACATCTATTTCTGTACCAGTAAAAGCAAGTGATAAAAAAAAAAAGTTGAATGTCATCAGGAGTCCTATAGCATCCTATCAACGCACTGATGCCACAGTGAATCCAAACAACATGAAACCCAAACACATGCCGATGAGAAGATGGAGATCTGGATTCAGATTCACATGTTGCACAGTTATAGCATCCTACCTGCCTTCCTCGGGCCTCCTAGTGCCTGTTCCTGTAGGCTACTTGCAGTTCCTTGAATCCCTGATGCTGCGCCCTGTTTGATCGCTGCTCTGCTCAGTCTGGACTGCTACATTACGCGACAGTGCCCCTCGCTTTTGAGAGAGCGCTCCTCCCCGCGGCCCAGCATAATCTCAGATCCATCCAGCCTCTGTACTCAGCCTCCTGCCTCCTCGCATCCCCTCTTTAATTCCGAGTAACTGTCCTGTAATCAGCACAAGCATCACCCTGTAACTCTGCTCATTTTAAAATAGGTGCTCTGAAATATGCGCAGTTAGGTGGAGTAGCAGGATATTTTTATTATTTGTGGTTAACTGTGGATTTATTATTGGCATAAACTATTTTCTATTTGTACTATTATATAAAATGTAAGTTACCATAAACAAAAATGTTTTATTTTATTTTAAATGTATTTATAATTCCTATTTTTTGAGAGCATGTCAGATTTTTCTACGCATGGCAGTAAACGTTATCATTAAAAAAAAAAAAAAACACATATTCCAAATGATTAAAACTCATTATAGCTTAATGAGAACTGTGTTTTTTCATTGCGACTGCGAAAATTTTGCTTTGCGGTTACTGGCCTCAGATCAGTTGACTCATCGAGTCCCGTACTGTGCTCATAGACGATAACGAAACAAAACTGACGTGAGATCAGTTTATTTTAACCGCGCCGACTGTCCGGCTGAGGAAATGCGTCATCCCGTCGCCGGTGACGTGGCTGCTGGGGAAAGCTCTTCCCGGTTGCTGTGCCAGCCTGCTCGGCTCCTCGGCTTCGGGCTCCTCCATTCATTGGAGATACCTGTGCACAAAAAAAAATACATAAATAAAGAGAAATACCTGTACTAGCTACTATTAGTCTTTTTTTTGGTGTGAGCTTTAAAACAAGTAGCGTGTTGCATCAGGCGCTGACTGCTGCCACCCATGGAGACGTACGGCAACTCGAACAAGAAACAGAAGCTAAGCAACGCTCCCGAGAACTGGGTGAGTTTTCTTTGGCCGAGTTGTGTAAATCCAACGCACCCATTCATCATGTCCGTCTGCCTAATGAGCTAACGGGCTAACTGGTGAGACACCGGCTAACTAGCTCATTATCATACTGCCGTACAGTAATGCTAGCTCTGCATTTAACGCCTCGGTTGCTAGCAGCGCCGTGGCTGAAAAAAATAAATAAAATAAAAACAAATAAAAGTGGCTAATCGGTCAACTGCTTATGCGGTTATAAAGCAACTGTTTGCGTTATGCCCTGACAACTTTGCCAACATCGACGTGAGCCTTCATGGTTTCAGCGTCGTTGGCAGCGAGATACTGTTTGCATAACCTTCACTTCACTCCAACTCTCAGGTGCAGTATTTACAGGATTTAGTTATCAAGAGTCGATGAACTAATGAGTCGACAACAGTTTTGTTAATAGATGAGTGTTTCAGCCATTGTTCAAAGGCCTGCATTCTTAAAATCAGGATGTGAAGCCTTGTCATAGTCATATGTGATGGTAAAAGTTTTATGACTTTTGTAATTAAAATGGCTAATTGAGAAAACAGCCAATAGATGAATAGGTAATGAAAATAAACATTACTTTCAGCTCTACATACATTTTCCAAGTTGTGTTATAGGGCGGCAAGTGGGCTGAACTGACTGAAGCTGAACTGTAAATGTGTCTGTATCATTTCCAGGGAATGCAACGTGCCACTAATGTCACCTATCAAGCTCATCATGTCAGCCGAAACAAGCGCGGGCAAGTTGTGGGCACAAGAGGAGGCTTCAGGGGATGCACGGTTTGGCTGAGTGGTAGGTTATGAAATATCAGCAGCTTTGATTCCTCAAAACAAAATGTCTGGGTGTGCCTTCTGCACCCTGCGTGTCACCTTCTAGCTGTTTCACAAGGCTGTTGTTTCCCTCCGTGCCAAGGTTTGTCCGGTGCAGGGAAGACCACAGTGAGCATGGCTCTGGAGGAGTACCTGGTGTGTCACGGTATCCCCTGCTACACACTGGATGGGGACAACATCCGTCAGGGGCTGAACAAGAACCTAGGCTTCAGCCCGGAGGACCGTGAAGAGAACATTCGACGCATTGCTGAGGTGGCCCGGCTTTTTGCTGATGCCGGGCTGGTCTGCATCGCCAGTTTCATCTCTCCCTACAGCAGGGTGAGTGACTCTCCAAAAAAAGCCCCAGCGGTTGGATGAGAGAAACGACTGATGACGGGGATAAATGTGGCTGGACCTCACTGATACACTAGTAAATGTGTCTCTCGTTTTGTTACACAACCTTTATTCAACCACTTTTAGATAAAGTGTTGGCCTTCTGTGCAGAGTTTTGTTCTAGGCTGAAAGGAAATTGGCACTAACGGGATAGTGCTTTAGAGCATTGTAACTTTTACATCTGTTTTCAGATTACTTGATGCTTGGGTTGATAATCATGACGTTACTGCTCATGTCACTGTGCATCATCATTATCCAGCTGAGACTGATGAGTCCAGATCCAACGATACTTTTGGAAGTTGAGCTTCTGAAGACAGGATTTTATATGTTCTTGTCCTGAATTTTGAACATACTCAGCATAATTTTAAAGAGAACAGTCTGAATCTGCCTTATAACTTCTGCTATAATTTGGCACTACGCAAATACATTTGAATAGGACTGAAGTGAAACGAGAATTGAGCTGTTTTATTATTTTAATAAAAACCGAATAAGATTTGCAAAACATAACTATAAATACTGGATTACACCATATGCAGTGCTACAACTGTTATTTTATTTCTTATTACTATAAAGGACTCTGAGGAATGATTGATTAGCGATTTAATGTTTTTACATTCACTGTCTGTTACTGGAAGCCAATTCTGAGCTGCAGCAGGAACTAATTTATTGCACACTGCGGTGAATTGTGTCCTATTGCAGCAGAAAATTAATACAATTTACAATTATGCTATCTTACACTAACTCTTAATCTAAATCATGTGTGTCTCACTGTGTGTTTCAGGACCGTCTCAATGCCAGGAAGATCCACGAGGCTGCAGGGCTGCCTTTCTTTGAGGTGTTTGTGGACGCTCCACTGGATGTCTGTGAGCAGAGGGATGTGAAGGGCTTGTACAAGCGAGCAAGAGCGGGCGAGATAAGAGGTGGAGTGTAGTTTAATACTGTTTATGTGCATCAGTAGATTCAAGTCCTGGCTTCTTGTAATCTGTTATGTGATCAAGACTGTCGTGGCTCATACTTGGACTGATAATACAGTGACAGCAGTCACATAGTACTCATACATACAAGAGACTTTTGTAATTCCAGAACAGAGGGCAAATCTGCAAGTTAAAAAAAGTGATCTGTAGCTCAGTAGACACACGTGCAATGCATTTCCATTTTCTTTAGTTTGACTTCTGCTGTTCTGGCACATTCCATTATCATAATTTCTCACTCTTTCTTTAAGTGCTGATCCTTATCATATCAAATTACACAGAAAGAACATGACAGTGACAATAAAACGGATGCATCATTGTTAGAGGAACCGTTTCTTATCACGTTGGGGTGATCTTCATTCAGTTTCCTGTGCTTTGTTTCATTTCTGTAGAGCAGATTGACCTTTGTTAGAGTCTATTCTGTTTTAAGAGGTTGTTTTTTAATTGGATGGAATTTGGTCCTGAACAGTTCTCTGAATCTCCCCATGAAGATTTCTGATTAATTATAACTTAAAGCATTGTTTTCAAATCACTGGATATTTCCTGACTTCAAATCAAGAGGGACATTTTTTAAAATTTAAAATAATATTTACAAGCGCTGTTGTTAATTACAAATAGAACAAAAATAAGCATGGTTCTTCACGTCAGTTAGGTGTTGTATATTTTGGATAGAAGCTTAAGTTCACATTGTGCATTTCATTCTCTTTACTTTATCAGGTTTCACTGGAATTGACTCAGAGTACGAGAAGCCAGAGGCTCCAGAGCTGGTGCTAAAGACTGACTCCTGCAGTGTGAATGAGTGCATACAACAGCTTATTGACCTGCTTCAGGAGAGGGTGAGGGGGAGAAATATCCTGCTTTGACATGTTCAAAATATGTGTATCATGTTTATGATTAACTGCATGTTTTTTTTCTACTGGTTATGTCCCTTTTAAAGGTTATATATATCACTTGCCACTAGGTGTCGCAGACCAGCAGATAATGGTGGACACATTTCAAACTGGACTGAAATAAAATTAAATCAAATTCATCAAAACCATCTTTATTAGTCTTTCCAACAAGCACCAACGTTGGTTTGAATGATTATAAACCATTAATTCACAGAGATTAGAAAATATCCACCAAACGGGTTGCTATGGCTGCCATGCAATGTTCAGATATCCTTAGGGACAAATTTGCCCTTCACAAAATGTCCACAAAAAGTCCACAAAAAGTCACATGAATTCTGATATAACACTGAGGTCACAAATCTGACATGTATCTGATTTGGACTACATATGAAAGTGTCCCAAATAGAAACTGAAAAGATCTAGCTAGCTATCTATCTATCTATCTATATATCTATATATATATATATATATATAAATAACCTTTTAAAGAATATTTAAACTAGAAGCTTGAAGTTTATACTTGATACATACAATAGTGCCATCATTCATTATTGACCACTAGGGGGCAGTAACACCTTATATTTTTATGAATGTTGGCATTTACATTGAATTATGTAAATCAGTATTTATTTAGTGAATAAAACACCTTTGCCAAAGTTTTGATTATGTGGGAGGTTTTGTATAGATTTATTCAACATTTATTAATTTCACATTCTGTTGATTTTTCAGGATATAGTTCCTGTTGATGCATCTTATGAGGTGAAGGAGCTGTATGTTCAGGAGAATAAACTGGACCTGGCGAAGGCTGATGCAGAGACCCTGCCTGCTGTGCAGATTGGAAAGGTGCTCCTGATTTTCTTTTTAATTTAGATAAACAAATGAAGCTAGAATAATAATAATTGATAGCCACTGTATATACTGTATATAGAGGAGTTATTAGTAATTTATCTATTCACAGTTTACCAATATCCTTTTATTTGCTCTACATATATGATAAGTTGTTGGTCAATATGTAACTCACTCTATGTGACTGTGTGTATGACCCTCAGGTGGACATGCAGTGGGTGCAGGTGCTGGCCGAAGGCTGGGCCACTCCTCTGAATGGCTTCATGAGAGAGAGAGAGTATTTGCAGTGTCTTCATTTTGACTGTCTGCTGGATGGTAAGATGTTCACGTTTTTAAGAAAAATGTAAACGTTAAAGCTCCATTGGAAAATTGTGTTGCTATACTTGAGAAAGGGCACTAGATGGAGATGAGTGCTCACAAAATGGACTTGGGACACATTTCTTACAACCAGACGTAAGTGCAAATGTTATACTTGTAAATAACTTTCTGGTGCTACCATCACTGTAATGTCCTCCATATATGCTTGAAACACTATGAGCACCAAGATGTGTCACTCAGTTAACCTATTCTTTTCAGCTTACTTGAGAGCTCCTAGCCGAAGGGTTAATTCATACTGTATCATTTGACACTTATGAACTTCAAACTTTAACCACGACAGAGCCAGAAGCTCTTTGGGTTCTCCTCGCTGATTAAATGGAGCATTAAATTAGATTAGCAAATACTCCCTGCATGTGTCCCAGTAAACTGCAATGCATATATTGTACTGCTGGATGTGCTGAGAGGCTTGAATAAAGGTTGAAGTGCTTCATTATACAGCAGTGATGTACAACTTGGCTTGGTGGCAGAATGACACATCCATCATAAGTGGATTTTAATGCAGAATTTAAAGAATCATGGTGTTGTATATAATGTTGGTGAAGTAAGCTCATTTGCAAGTCTCAGGAATGTTTTTTTCTTTTTGGCACTTTTTAGAAAATGAATATCCTACTGGGTGAGTCTCTTGGTGTAATTACAGCAATTTCGCATGTATTGTTTGAAATTCCAAGAAAAAGTCAATTTATTTTTATTGCCCATAAGACCACTTAAACCTCAGCTGTGTGTTGTTATGCCAAATATTTTGTTGCATACACACAGTAAAATGAAAAATACATTAAGCAAATTGAAAGTTGACGTAGCCTGTATTTCATTTTCAGAGTTTGACAGGTATATATTATATTTGCTGTCCTCACTGAAGGATAAAACCATCAAATTCTTACAACTTAAAAAGAAATCACAGATGATTTAAGTTCTTTCCTCAGAAAGATAGCTAGCTTGAGAAACTGAGCTGTCTAGACAGACTGAGGCAGAAATATATATTGATGTGAAAAGTGTTGATTCCACTTTTCCTGTTTGTCTGGAGGAAGAGAGTCACAGAGGAAGAGACGTCTTTATTGATTGACACCACACACCGCCATTTGTCCATTTTCACTTCCTTCCAGGGATTTGACAGTGAAAGGACTCATCGCCCACACTTTAACAGTAAAACTGGTTGGGAAGGAGCAAACGGCATGTTTGACTAATCAAATAGTCACAAAAAATAAACAGACCCGAATTCAAGCTCGTGTCTCTCTCTCTCTCTCTCTCTCTCTCTCTCTCGGACATTTGGCAGTCTTACGAGTGTGCATTATTGGAACCAGCTGTAAGCTCTACGCTGTGACATAGGGGACGACAAGAGGGTCCACAGGGAGGGTTGGGGCAGCAACAGTCAGCGTTCCCTCCTGTTTCCACTGCATTTGATCTGATGTGATGTGAAAAGCGTGCCGGTCCAAACGTTTTCAACAAAATGAACTCGCCAACAGAACGCTGTCACTACGCAGCCCAAATCAAAGAAGGAGAAAGGTCAAGATCCAGCTTAGCTTAAGAGGGGATTTTTTTTCTCCACTAGCTTCTTAAATTGCGGCCTTGAAGTCTCACTGTAGCCTGTGGTTTAGCTGTATATTCCACATTTAGCCTGAAGGGGTACAGAATGGAAACTTAATTAGAATGGTTGAGCTGTTTTGTTGATACCTAACCTTTTGAACATTTTAACCCGCCTTTTGTTAGATGTCTGTTTTCAGTGTCCCAGTTCTTTTGCATTGGGATCCTTTACATAGTTTTTTCTGGGATCGTTGATAGTAAAGGTGTCCTGTGCAGTTTCCTTGTAAACAAAAAAAAAAGTTCACACAGTTTCCCATTAAAATACATTGTTTTCCTCTTTGGATGCTAGCTAATTGCGTTTAACGGATTTATTTGCAAAGCGGATTTATATAAAAAGAAAAGTTGTCTTCTTCGCATCTTGATGTGCGACAGGACTGTGTATCCCATTGCCTCGAAAGTCCGTGCAAAAACATTCCTCCGGAGTGCTACTAGTGGGCCTTTTAATGTAGCTTGAATTGGAGGACTGTGCTCTTTGCGTACTCTGTGGAATCAGAAGACAAAAAGGGTGATAACTCACCAGATATTTTAGCGCTGAAGCATTTAGTTAATTCTTTATTTGTTGATTGACAACAATAATTGATTGTCAGTCAAGGTCAGTCATTTATGAGGCAACAATGCCAATATTCTCTGTTTTTTCTTGGATGTGAGAATTTGGTTGTTTTTTTTTTAGTCATGCTTATGGTAAATACATTGCATTTATATCACCTGATATATCCCTGAACAATACTTGATTTTAAACTGGATATCTTTGGGTTTTGGAGTGAACAAGCAAGAAATATGTCAATTTGGCTTTGGGAAATAAAAGGCATGTTTTACTATTTTCTGACATTTGTTAGACAAAACAATCACAGGTCCAGTGTGTAACATTTAGCAGGATCAATGGGCAGTAATATAATATAATATTCATAGGTGTTTCTACAGTAGCCCAGAAGGGACAAACCAAACACTGGCTCTAGAGAAGACCATTTGCATTTTTTGCATGTTTTGCGGGCCACCATAGTTTCTCTTTTGTGCCTGAAAGGGGAGGGTGAAGCAGCAGAGCCATATGCCACTAAATCCTACACACTGGTCCTTTTAATTATTTAAGCAAACGACCAGCAGATTAATTGCAGGTGTAATGTATTTTCTTTCGGCCTAAATATGCCTTTTCCCCTCATAAAAATGTTCTCGTTTCTCCAACTGTCTCAGGTGGAGTCATCAACCTGTCCGTGCCGGTGGTGTTGCCGGTGTCTACTGCAGATAAAGACCGTTTAGACGGCGTGACCGCTATAGCCTTGGTCTACGAGGGCAGACGAGTGGCCATCCTTCGCAACCCCGAGTTTTACGAACACCGCAAAGAAGAACGTTGCGCTCGCCAGTGGGGCACCACCTGCAAGGACCACCCGTACATCAAGGTACATATTATGTTCAGGGTCAGGGTCACAGTTTTGATTGTCCAAGAACTGAGGCTTATATGTTGGAAATGCTATAGAAAGCCTAGAGCTCGACCTTGGGGGGGAAAAGTACTGAGCAGCATCACAGAGCTGCAGACAGTCTGTCTCAGTGTGCTATGTGATAAACAATCTGCATGTGAAAGCAAACTGCCTCCCTGGATTCGGCACTGATAGAACACAGATCCGAGCTGGCCTTTTCACATTGCTTATGGAAAGACTGAATAGGTGGAGGACCAAGCTTTTCTCACAGTCTGTCAGGACGCCCAGTGTAATCACTTGATCTTCTTGGTCCACCCTCGTTTTGCAGGTGTTATATTTGGATGCTGAGTCTCTCGCTCAGCCTCCACCAAATGTGTTTTAGAATGTGCTGCACGGCTCAACAGGCTGCGCAATCCCTGCCAGCTTCCACCTTTCCGCTCGCCCAACCCTTCTCCAAATATACCCGGGAATTGTTTCCATCTGTCTCCTATCGACTGCTGTGGGACCCAGGTAGACTCGGTGGCGAGATAACGTCCTGAAATGATCCTTGCACACCCTGCGAAAAAGTGGCATTGTGGCTTGTAGCTGGAAAAAGTTGGAAAACTGTCTAGTGTTGCAGACAAAGATTGCCTCTTTATAAGCCCATCTGTGTGGACTGGGAGTGCAAGGTTACTTTTAATAGCTGTTTGTCCAGCTAAGTTTAAAGCCCATTCTTTTCAGGATCAGTGCAGTTGGTTGGCCTCTTGTATATTGGCAAAGGTGCAAGACAAAACTAATGGCAACCTATGTGGTATTTCGTGATTTCACTCCCTGGGGTCAGAGTTACTGTAAACCTCACTGGCTCATTTTAAAGCCATGTGCTGCTAAAAATTCTGGATGGAGATTAACTGGAACACTAGCCTACAGCTGTCTCAATATTTCACCACAGTTGGTAGACATTGTTAATCTCAGCAGATATCTTTATTTGTCTCACCTTGTTCATGATTAAATCTGGCTTTGTAATGTGTTTTACGATACAAGAGGCTGCCAGTTTTCATAAATTGGTACCATGACTTTCCAGTGTCAACACCTGATGGCCCAGCGCTGGCTTTAAACACATGCTGAGTGCTCTGTATTTCCACAACTGTCAGTCTTTATCCACTTTAACCTGTCACAGCTGAACATGTGTGTTCAGCTTGCTGTGATTAAGGTGTCACTCATTAAAGAGTGTGTGTACGTATACATAAGTGTATGTTTTAACTCCCCGCACCGGAGCCAGTCTGTCAACACACCTCTGCGCTGGTAGCTGCAACTTTTTTTTTTATCCCGTCTCTTTCCAACCAGAAACGACCTGCTCCATATTACATGTAGTTAATCCACTGTTTCCTGTTTACCTGTTCGTCACTCAGACAAGAGCCCCCTTCATCGGAAACTATGGTGTAGTGGCTGTTTATTTGGCCAGGGCCCTTTTCACATGTGAAGCCCTGGGGCACTTATAACGGTTAAACAGGGCACATGTGTATGTGTAGGCATGCTTCTTTGATATATCCACGCAGACATTAGATTTTCCATTCACTTATGTTAGGAAAATAAATTGTGACTGTCTATGCTGTTGATCTCTCCAATGAATAAGGGCGTTGAGCATCTCTCATGAGTCTTTTCAGGCCAGCAGTGGACAGGTTGGATTAATTGGCGCGTGGAAAACAAATCGCAATGCAATCCTGAAAACTAGATGTGTCTACATGGCTCCGTCGTAAGGTTTTGCAATCACATCACGTCTATGACACCTCTACTGTTGACAACTTACTGATTTTGAAACTGTTTCTAAAGTATACATATCAAAGACTTTTCTTTTTGTATTTTTCACATGACTAATTACATGTCAACAACACCAAGTGACATCTTTTTTTATCAACTTCCAAAATCGACTTTTCGCGATGCCTACGAACTTCTGGTTTCATTTGTGGCATTTGTTTTTGAGTTTTCTCCATCTCAATGCTGGAGCTGTGCTGCTTTTATTACCCAGCCTGTAGAGAATTGTCACTTTGTATCACATTAACATCGCACAGGCCAGTGTTTTCAGTAACTCTAGCTACGGTCTCATAAATGCCACAAGAGGCAGGCTAAAGATATTGCCTGAAACAATAGCAGCCTTTCCTGGATCCTCCTGAGCACTTCTGTGACATTGTTGGATTAATCTCTTGAGGGGAACATTTTTTCTCCAATGTGGTCATGAGCTCATCACCAGGTTATATTGTGTAATACAATCTGATTTGGTCTCTGCTCTGTTATTGAAATTAAGATAGTTGATATGGCCAAGTGCAGAAGACTCGGAATGCCAGAGTTTTGTTGACTGTTTAACAACACGCAGTCTTTGATTTATGCTGGTGTCTCCCCGTTGTAACTGGGTAATAACTTGGGGGTTTTATTAGAATTCACGCTGGCCTGGTTCCAGCACAGTGAAGTTTTTATGGACCACAGTGTCTTAAGTCTGGATTATGTTTGAGTTGTGTTCCCTGTCATGATCATTGTGACTGCTATTTCAGATGGTGATGGAAAGTGGGGACTGGCTGGTCGGAGGAGATCTGCAGGTTCTGGACAGGATCTGCTGGAACGATGGACTGGATCAGTACCGACTGACGCCCACCGAGCTCAAACAGAAGTTTAAAGAAATGAATGCAGGTATAGGCCAAGTTCTGTTGGTCCTTGTTTATATTTTAGGTCTATAAAACAGTGATCTGAACTTAGACCAAGGACTTCAAGAGAGACTGTAGTGTCACAATATTTATACACAGCTTGTTTTTTTTTTTTTGTTTAGTCTTTGGCAAGGAAACAAAAGAGACAGAGTAGGAAAGTCATGGGACAGAAGGCTCTGGTGTGATTCAGTCCTTGACTGCGGTTTCAGTGGTTGGGCACTTAGCTGCTTGATTATCTCTGGGTACATTGTGGCCTTCTGTTTGCTTTGTACAGATGTGTTCAGATGTGTTTGGTTGCAGTCTAACAAACCCTTCTCGTCCTCCTCCTTTCTCTCTATTTAGATGCTGTATTTGCCTTCCAGCTTCGCAACCCAGTCCACAATGGTCATGCTCTTCTGATGCAGGACACCCACAAGCGCCTCATCGAGCGAGGCTACCGCCGGCCCGTTCTGCTGCTCCACCCGCTGGGAGGTTGGACCAAGGACGATGACGTGCCGCTGCCCTGGCGCATGAAGCAGCACGCCGCGGTGCTGGAGGAGGGTGTCCTGAATCCAGACTCTACCATCGTAGCTATCTTTCCTTCACCCATGATGTATGCCGGGCCAACTGAGGTGATGATTATGAAGAATGTTGTATTTGTAGCGCTTGAGGTTTCTTTTAAACAAAGCCATAATTTCTTCCTCAAAACTGACACGAAACAAAAAATGTGACTGCAGTGGCGAGTAATGATGCTGTCATAAACTTGGTGTCTGCAAATTTTTGAGAGTGAAAAATGGCAGGAAGGAGGGTTCACAATTGTCTTAAGGCGCTCTGTTTAGTGTTTCCATGCCATACACAAACATCCTTGTGTGACTGAGCGTAGCTGTGTGGCTGGGAATCTTTTAATCATTCAGTTACGATAATGGGAAACTACAGCACAAATTATTGAGAGCAGATTGGAGGCTGGCAGTGAATTTATTCAGTTTGTAATTTTGAATGGGAGGTTTATAGAGCCAGATTCAGCTCCAGCCTCATTGCTCTGATCTTGTTTACCCTTTAATAACCACATATACCCCTTGGTCTGCCTGCCGCGCAAATATTAGAACTACCTCTCCAGTGTTGCCAGAATGTTCTTGAGCAAGACTCTGAAGGCCTGCAACTTCCACTTGTTTTGTCAACCCAATCTGATTGTAGATCCTAAAATACAATCTACAAGGGCAGGAAACTAATGGCACTGGTATTAGTAACTGTCACACAGTAATGTAGAGATTAGGCAATTATTGATAATGAGAAACAGAAAAAGACCCTCAGTGCTTATGGTGAATGCAAATTCCTAAGGGTAAGAGTTGGAGGCTGGGTGAACTAGTAAAGGTAGCTGCTTTTATTTTTGTTTATTTTACAACTCAGCTAATCTTATACACTTTTACTCCACACAATTCTTTATATCACATTTTGAGTTAGTGAGATATTATAGTATCTACAGCCAGGCAGCCATAGAAGAGACTTTGCTTGGAGACTAACAGAGCAACATGATTTCCCAGCACACTGCACAAGGGGCTCACAATCTATACACCAACTACAGCAAATACAATGGGGTGGAGACTGAACACAAACAAAAACAACATTGCAAAAAGATTAGGAATGGCTCTATACCACTTTTTCATGTCTGATACCGATGCCGCAAACTTGAGTATCTGGTAATACCAGTCACATAGTCTTTTCCCCTCTCAGAAACAACTAAGCTGTAAAAAATATATTTGCATGGATGCGCTTTGCTTAACCTAGCCAAATATTCTACTCCTATGAAGGAAGAAATACATAGCCCACAACATGAATCAGTCATTCAATACTGCTGCTTCTTTTTGTTTATACTTCTGTGAGGTAAAATGGTATTTCTCTGTTTTTAATGTTGCTATAGTATTCACAGCTCTTCTTTCTTTTTATGCCTCGTCCACAGGTTCAGTGGCATTGCAGAGCTCGAATGGTGGCTGGAGCCAACTTCTACATTGTGGGCCGAGACCCCGCAGGTATGCCCCACCCTGACACAGGGAAGGACCTCTACGAACCCACTCACGGGGCTAAGGTCCTCACCATGGCTCCAGGCCTCATCACCCTGGAGATTGTACCTTTTAAGGTTGCTGCTTACAACAAGGTCAAAAGAGCAATGGACTTTTACGATCCCAAAAAGTGAGTAGCTGTTAATGTTACAATTTTATTATTTTAAAGCTGTTTCCCATAGTCTTTTCATTTTATTGGGGTCTTAGAATACAGAAATAGTTTAAGTCAAAGTGGCAGTACTCACTCACACTAACTTAAATGGCTTATTTGTATATTTGTATAGTCCAGAGTAATACCTCTCATTTAGTTCAATTAGAACCAGCAGCCTAAACACAAAGTACATTCTCTAAATGAATTACTCATTAGGCTTGTCTTTTAAAAAAAAAAACCCTTTCATCCTTTTTATTTCCTTCTTCCCTTCGATCTAGAGCAAAATGCCAAGCCAAGAATAACAGGAATTGTTTTTCTTTCTTATACAGTTAAAAGGTTTTGTGGATTAGTATTAGCTTTGTAGTTTCTCAAAAATTGCAAAGACCTGCTATTAATTAAAGTCTGTATACGGACACTGCACATGATGACTAACAAAAATCATGCAATCTCACTACCTCTCGTCCGGATTTTATGCAGCCTCCGCCATCAGCTTACGTAACTTTCGCTGTGTTTGGCCAGGAATGTTAAAACTAAATATGGCCAGACTAATCAAAAGATTTGCTTTGTTTTCCATGATGCATATTTATGACGTTTAGGCCAAACCAAATTGTCGATCAGGAACATCTAGTGCTTTTAGGGTTGCTAAAAATGTTTTTAATGGGTTATCTGACCAAATATTTGATTTTAATCAGTGTGTAAGAGAAAATCTCTCTGGCTGTTGAATGTCACCTTTTTCCACATTGGGATGAAAAGTTTGTTTATCATGTAGAAGGATTATTTTATTTTTTTAATGGGGTTACAATCTATAAAAAATACGACTAACTGTCAGTCTTATTTATTGACTGAAGATGAGAAGAAACAGTGACGTTTGTTTGTTGTCATCAGCCTTAAATTAAAGCTTTTATTTATCACATTTACTAGTAAAAAGTGAAATGCAGTGTTATATACTAATTAAGACTAGTGTGAAAAAGTACAATAAATCTTACAGGCTCGAGTGCAAATAGAAATATATGTGAGTATATAATATGCTTTGTAGTTGGAAAACATGAAAAACCATCTCACTGGCCTTCAGTGAACTTTTTAAAAAACATTTCAGAATGTCATTTAAAATCAGTAAATCACTCCATTAAATACACTTTGCTGTCTTCTTTTTAATAGAATCTCATTGACCCAATGGCTTGATATTATTTTAGGGATAAAGCTAGAGAGCAAATGCAAGATGGTAACTGGATTTCCAAAGTCTGTAGTCTTCGCTCTGTTAGATTTATGGCATTCCATTCTCTCATGCACGCTGACAGTGCCTTGCCAGATTTCAGGAGGAATATGGATGCTTATCCTAATCACCAGCAATACCCCTCAGTCTTTCTCTGAAGTGTAATGGCTCAGATCACAGTAAGCTGTTTCTAATTTGACACTGTATAAAAATGTTGTAAGAAGAATTTGCCTGGAGCTCTTTTACCTCACGCCATGTTAACTGTTGGATCTTCTTCACAGTTTCTCATTGTTTCAGAGTAACTTGATGTGCTCTGTCATGTAATAATGATTATAATTTTTTTTCCCTCATAAACAGCAGGACTTTGACCCTCTCCGAATGCAATGTAACAAGATGTCTAAAACTGCCTTGATTATCCCTGACAGTAATAGACGAGGCTAGTGAAGATGTAATGAACTTGTGCCAGTACTTCGCTGAGCACCGGTTTTAGATGAAGACTGTCCTTGGCTGCTCGCTTCAAACAAAGTTGTTCAAATCTATTCTGAACGAGGTGAACTGAAAGTGCAGTGAAAAGCCGTCTGTCATGGAGAGCGAGGACGGAGTAGACAAGAGAATGTTTGAAAGTTACAATCTACAATCTGATTATTGGAAAGAAGCTCCCTGACAGTTTTTAATTTGAAATGTGTGGCAGCCACATTCCTTCACACAGACAGTTTGGTTGGGATGTTTGACGGTAGTACCCCAAAATGATAATACAGGTTTTTTAACTTGTCTGAACTAGTTTTTAATATATTAATTTATGGGTGCGTTAGAATTTGGTTGTGTTAGTAGCACTAATTTATTCAATTTTGGGTCTTTTGTTTCACAAAGAATTGGATAAAAGATGCTTTAATATATTGGTAGGGAAGCAGCCTAAAATTTTTATTCCAGGCAATCAAGTGGATAATTTATAGATAGGAAAAACAACCTTTAGTAGATATAACAACACGCTGTGTATCACACTTTATTTTTCCTTTTTTCTTTTTTATATTGCTTCTTTCCTTATACAAAAGCACAAGTGGGTGGAAGGGACACCAAAAGTACTACTACTGGGCATCATAATCGTTAATTTCTTTACAGTAAATTTATTGTTGTTGGAGATGTTTGTTGTTAGTTGTATCACCTTCTCTAGAGATCTAAATTGTGAAAAACAAACAGGAATCTTAATCTGATGTTTTTTTTTTTTTTACTTTTTAAATAACCTGTGTGTATGTATTTACATGTAATATTAAAAAATTCAGACTTTGGCAACTCCTACTGGTAGTAACAAAAAAGATCCCATGGCAGACAGCATTGCGTAGTAAAGTACCCATAAAGTGTTTTAAACACAAGCATATAAATTATACATCTACTCCAACGCGCTGAATTTGAAGAATTCCTAAATGTTGAAACTCAGCTGCACTGGCCTCATTTTACAACCAGTCATTGCAATAGCGTGCTGGTGCTTACTGGGTTGTCACAGTATCTCTCCAGCCACGGAGTGATTTGCGAGGTGTTACCAATAAATCAGCTGTCAGAAATTGTCTGCATGTGAAATGTAGAGTTTAGCGATTTGGACTTTGGACTGTGTTTTCCAGAAATGCTAACTGGCCTGCTCCCACGCCTCGATGTGCTTGATTCCAAAGCAGCAGGCAGTTATTGTTGGCTCATTTTTCCTGTTGATAAGAATCTTTTCATCGATTTGAAGTCTGTCTGTTACTCAGAACTCTTTTTCTCTCTCTTTTTTTTTTTTTCTTTTTACAAATTGCAGCCATCAAGATTATGATTTCATCTCAGGCACACGTATGCGGAAGATGGCTCGCGAGGGAGAGAATCCTCCTGATGGCTTCATGGCTCCAAAGGCTTGGGCTGTGCTGAAAGAATACTATAAGTCACTGGAGAAAGCCTAAAGGTTGAGTCACGGATGACAAAACACGGAAACACTCGAGTTTCTACTGATGCTTCAAATGTCGAATGTGGGGACCACTCATCTACTATCACAAACCATACTCTGGCTTCCGTCTGTCACTTGTACACTCAATCTTTTATAGTCTTATCATGTTTGTGTTTTAACTGTGTGTACTTTTATCTAACTTAACTTCCTCTGACTGTAAAATACAGTAGGAGAAGTCAGAGGTCAAAAAAATCTTCAGAGTAGATGTTTGTGTTTCTCACTAACTTTATAACTGTATGTTCTAAAGACTGATTACAAAATATTGTTTAAAAAATAATGGATCAAGACTCATAATGACCTCTACAGAAAGTACTGTTGACCAGTACTTGAATAGGTGTGAATGAATGTTGAGTATTCGTGATGTCCAAATTTAAAACGTTACTGCACCTGCTCGAGTTCACTTAACTCACAACTGAAACCCAAACAAGTTGCTTTGTACTGTATGTTTGCAAGTGGCGGTGGTAGTTGCTCAGAATTTGGTGTACACAAGTATTTGATGTAAAAGTTGAGTGCCTTGGTCTTCAGAAAGTGAATTCACATGATGACTGGTTATAATTAGGATACACAGACACAGACACACACACACCTGCTTTTTGTCCCACTTGTCTTAATGTTACACTGAAACAGTCCAGTAGTTTAAAAAAAAATGGTACGCAACACTTTAAAGATGTTTTTATTGGGATATAACTTCTTGGAAAAACTTTTAACATTTTTTGTGTCATATTTAGTCTATTTATTCTATCCTAACATTACATTTTTTTTTTTTAGTCTTTATCTGTTGTGCATGTAGTTTTGATGCTTGTCTCAGCAGTCTTTGATATTTTGTTAGGTTGTGATCATTTGTATCCCCCCCCCCCCCTCTTGGGTTGCTAATATTTTCCATGTGGTAATTCATTTTAAGGAGTTGGCCTGTATAAACAGATGGTTGATGGTTACCATCAAGGGATCAGATTTGTAATCTTCCTTGTCCAATAAACCATTTTTAGCAAAAAAGAACGATTTGTTTACTTTTCCTTTCTGTAGTCTTTGGGTTTGCTACACACGATGCATGGGTTTTCTTTTCTTTTGCTGCACACCAAAGGGTTTTAAATGTAGAACATATTCTCAACTTAAATTCTTAATTTAAAGTAAATGCACAGAATTTCATGTATTATAGAAACTAACTTACAGTGATGAGATGTCATCAACTGTTAGCAGCCAGTGACAACTCAATGGCTCGAAATGTCTTCATATCTTTGTCACTAACCCTGTTTGAAGTGCGTTTTGTCATCTACATGAACCAAGCTCTCTCCAAACCAGGGTTTCTTAGACCCTGCCTATTTGAACTTTTGTGACCCTCCAGTTGGTCAATCAGCTGTATATTGAATGAGACAGACCCTCTAGTGACCCTAATCAGGCTCAGACACACTTGCACACTGTATACAAAGAGCTGCAGCTGGCTCCCAGATGCAGTGATGCAGTGAAAGTGGAACATAAAGGGTTAAATCCAGACCCAGAAGAGTAGCTCTGTCAGAAATACCCTGGATACTTCGTCTAATCCAGCTCCCAAGATGTAATGAAGAGACCTGCCAGCAGCATTTTTTTTTCTACCTTTCATCAGATCTTGTTCAATCTCAAATGGTAATCAAGCTGGGTCCTCAGTGCAACTTCAAAAGAAGAGGGTTAGGGGTCTTTTTTTTCGCATAGAAATGATCAAATGATTTTGGAGAGGTTGTCATATGATTTTTGTTGTTTTTGTGACTGTCTGAAGGAGATCAGTGTTCTCTGGGTAATGCAGGTGTCTGTATACTATGCGTATCTTTAACCTCTTGATGTTATCTTACTTGCACTGTGTATTTTTAGTCTGTTCCCCCCATAATCGGATCTTGCTTAAAAACTTTTTATCCCTCTGAGTGTTGCTACAGTGTGGCACCCATCCAGAGAAAAGGGATGAAGGTGCCAAAAGAATTTGCTGTCTTCTGACTACTGTTTACACGACATATGCCTTTACTCACCTGCACCACCTAATTTTAACTAAAATGGCTGTTGTACAGAATACATAAACAACATTTTGTCAAAGTGAAACTGAAGGACGTTTTTTTTAGATCATGAGCTTAATGGCAGACTTGCAACTAGAGTGTTAAGTTAAAGAAGGTGAATATTAGTTAGACTGTTTATTAATGGGGCTAAAGAAACAATATGCTTGATTATCTGACATCTATCTGTCATTTTGGTACTTGGTAAACTCTGTTTATGTGTTAAAAAATGCTTTTGAAAAGATACTATAATATACTATACTGTACTATACTGTACTATAATGTACTATACTGTACTATAACTCTTCCTGTAAAGCATTCTAATACATCAAGTAATATACTGGAATTATAATTGTAATTTTAGTTAGAGTTTCTTATTCAGTGCACAGCAGGTCAGCTACAGCTAAACATGCATAATGTAAAATTTGTCTTACTGTCTAGTTGTAAATTACAGAATATGTCTCCATAAACCCGTGTAAACCTTGGGAGGGAATCAATGTGATTTTTTGCAGTCATTAAGACTTTAGCTCTTCTTTCAAGGAAAGGCATCTTTATATGTAACAAGTGCTTATGACAACTACAAATGGCTACCATATAATTTCCTGGTTCTTTCTTTAAAAAAAAGATGATTTAAGAGATGCATTTAAAAGAGACAGAAATAAAAATTCTCTATTGTAAGATCCATTTCAAAGTATATAAATGTCACCAGTGTAACCATTGTATTACATACAATATACTATTCTACATGCATGCAACATGCAATGACATCACTGCTATCTCATCCCATACCACTGAAAGGTTCTGCTCTTACATGGACTCCAGCTGCATTTATCTCCAATTTCCTTCCATCTGGTTTGAGTTTCAGTCAAAGCCAGTCATGATAAAAACAGGCTTTACTTTGCAAAATGCAATACAGTGGTACAGGACATGGTTAAAATTCAAGGAAATCTATTCCTCAGTGATGACTCTGAGGTGTGTGCGGGGCAGAGTCAGTGCTCATCAGTGGTAATGGTTTTGAGTGATCATCTGGATCTTCATGATGGCAGTAGAAAGAGTTATATTACATATTGTTTCATGGGCTCCAGTAGAAACTAAAATATGGTTTTAGGAGGTCCTGACATATGGTTAACATACTGTACTGTTATTCTCCTGTTTCATCCTGAAATACACTTTTCATATATAGAAGAAATTTAGTCACTGTCTGACTATGTTAGATTTGAAAGATTGAAACGTATTAAAATGCATTGACCAAAAATTTCATATTTATTTGGTTCTTATCTGGTAAATGATTCCTACACCACAGTGTAAACATAATGACATTTCACTTGAGGTGTAATTTGTCTTCATACCCTGTCCACACATATTCTTCACTTTCTGCTCCCAAATTATGAAATATATTGTCGTAGCTAAAAAATAAACACAATATGTGGTGCTAACCCTAACCCAAACCCCTGCATTATAACAAAATGGACTAAATTAATGTATAATGGTTAAAATTGAATTTCAGTGATCGTATAATATCATTAGTTCCTGGTGTAATGGCCAAGCCGCTCATAGTGCACAGAGGTACAGACAAATAATGTATGACAAATCCTTTGATGTTTATGTATAGTACATGATGGTAGCCACAAATCATTAGTCATGCCACCATCATATATGTTGTACTTCTTCCTCACACAGGCCTTTGATATAGGATTCAGGAGACACTCATTACTACAAGATTACCAGAGCCTAATAAATCCTTCTGCTTTATGATTCTCTTGTCAACGCACCATGTCAGAATGAGGCTAGACAGCCTCGGGAACAATGCCTCAGGAGCCAGAGGCTTAATATAAAGAAATCATACAGAGGGAGAAAGATCATGCATCAAATGATGGTTTGTGAGCACATCAAAGGAAAGCATCTGTTTCGCAACCTTGGAAGATTCTGTAAAAGAAGAATTCCAGGCTCTTACACAACAGATATACTGTCAGGCACAAAAGGTGGTCTGTAAGCCCATAGCACCCTCCACAGCTTGCATGACCCTCCTCAGTGAGGGTCCCACCTACAGTACAGGATGCAGCAGCTGAGACAGAGGAAACAGTATATCTGTACCTGTCACCAAAAGAGAGGATAGACAGCTATGCACAATATCAACAGAAATAAATTACAGAGACAGACTCTACAGAGACAGGACATGAGCAAGGATGATTTTTAATTGATTGATGACATTTTTTGTAACCGTGAGGAAGTGATAAGTGGATGTTAAAAACATGTCTGAGGAGCCGGATCTGAAGTCATGTGAACATGCTCTGTGAAATATTACTGAGGCATCATTTGAGTGTGGCTGCAGTATTTATCCAACCAGAGGCACATGGATGGTAAACAGGGGGTCTGGAATTGAACTTCCACAAGTGAAGCAGAAAATAAGTTTTCTATCATAATGTAGATCATATACACTATCTGAGACATTACTTAAGTCCTGTCTCTGTCAACTCCAGTTGAACATGTATGGTCTATTATTAGAGTGCACCAAGGTCTGTTGTGGTCAATATTTACATAATTTACTTCAGTAGAAGTAACAATACTGTACAATGTAAAAATACAATGTAATAATTAAAAAGTAAAAGTCCAACATTTAAAATATTACTCAAGCGAAAATATTAACAGATACATTTAAAGTTTCAAAAGTAAAAATCCTCATTATAAAGAAAAATCCCCATGTCAGAGATAAGTTATTTTATATTGCTTTATTAGGTTAGTATTACCATTAATGTATAAGAAGCATTTTATTAATTGAGGTGGAGCTAATTCTAGATAATTTAGATAACTATTTTATATAAGTTATAGTATATATAGTTTGGTCTATAACAATGCTTCAGTCCTAATCTGCTAAGTAACAAGTAACCATAAAAAAATGTAGTAGGCTAGAGTAAAAAGTACAATATTTGTCACTGCATAAGTACAGATACAAAAAGCATACAGTTTGAGGCAAAACTGACAATGACACCAGAATGAATACATCCAATGTATGAGTATTTATCTGTATATGCATATATAAATATAAACAATACAAAGTTGTTATTGTACATGTTTTTGTCATTTTTTTTGTCAAATCTGATTCTTTTTGCATCTGAAGAACCTCCTGTTTTTGAAGAGAATATATTTTCATATGATACCAAAACAAAAACTGTCCCTCAGCATGCAAAAGGTTTATTGCTGTCAGTGTTTACAGTGTGTTGAAGAAGTCTTTCAAGCACACAAAAACAGCTACATAAAATTATATATAACTAAATCAATAATAGTTTCTTAAAATATATGTTATTGCAAAGTCCAGAGCATCCATTTTCTGTGACAGATTTTCTGTGGGTACTCATTAGGACAGAGTCACAAGCTGTTTGGTTGATAAACAGAGGATTACTTTAAAGACTTAAATATGATATATACAAATTAATATTCTTCCCACCAGAGTCAGTGTGATAGGGACACATTTCTCTATTTCTGTATGCAGACATTTCAATCTGTGGTTCAAGGTTTTGTCTCATGACTGTGTCACAGGCTGTCATCTAAGTTACTCTGGTTTCTATCTTTGGGACAGAGTGTTTAACTTTCAACAAACATTGGATCAGACTTGATTGGATTGAATATTGGAGTAACTAAATTGTGCTGTAGGTGGTTTTTGGACGTTAAATTGACTAAACCTCTGTCAGGCCCTTCAACACAAGTCCTTTTCATTTAGTTAGTCATGCCAATTCCTATTTGGAATTCAATGGTTTATTGAACCTGGGTAGTGTATAAAAGGCAGCATGTTTCTGCTGCTGTTATCTTTTTTTCCTATTGATGTTCTACAATATGTGTGTTCACAGGTGCAATTCAATGGAAGAAGGAGATCACTGCTGGCATAAAACATCACACTCAACAGATCTTGGAGGATTGTTTGATGGAAGCAGAGCATTTCCCGATTTGAGACTGCA